GCTTCTACAGCGAACATCTGTCATGTGTACGTCTGGCCCCGAAGGTGTGACATCGCTCGCTGCGTTCCTCTCGACCCCCGCACTGATCTCTGCTGTCCGTTCTTCCTGCCGCCGGTGGCTTCCCGCTCCACGGCCGGGCGGCCAGCCTCGCTCTGGCTCTCGGGCGTTGAGGCCGCTGACAGTCTCTCTGGCGAAGGTTCCTCTGCTCAAAACCGACGGAAGTCCGAATCCCCTGAGCGCCGGCACACAGGCGTGTGTGCGACCGGAACGTCAGCAAAGCCGTCATTAAAAATAGAGCCGGCGCCGGGGCCCAGGCTCCGGACGTCAGACGAACCTTCTCCGAGCCCCTCGGAGGAAGGATGTGATTTCCAAATAAAGACGCGAGTTTATTTTGAGCGCGGCACCCTGACGGCATGAGCTGAGCGCCTCTCCTTTGTATCGACCAAGAGCCCTGTTCTGAAAGCAGATGGACGACTGAGTCGCCGGGAGGGCTGGCACCGGCGCTAAAGAAATAGCCCCCGGCCCGGCCCGGCAGCCGCCCTCCCGGAAGAGACCTGGGGAACGGCGCTCCCGGCCCGTCTCCCGAGGAAGAGCCGCAGAACCAGCACCACGGCCCCGCTACGCCCCCATGTCTGCGTCGGGTCTGGATTCGGGCAGCAGGGCCTGGACACGGGCACACGGTCGGAGCAGCAATAAAGGGTTCAAATAAATGGCTTCCGCTTGTGCAGTGTCATTGTCTGCGAGGGCTTTGGGCGGCCCGTGCAACGGGGAGGGCTGCGAACAAGTGGGCCTCCGAGTCCCTTGAAAATGCTGCACACTCGGTTTACGGGGAGGGAAGCCAGGTGAAGGAGACGCCCTCCTTCCGTGAGAGGGACCCTGTCCAAGACCCCACCTGGGTCACCCAGACCCAGGGGAGACCGAGTGTCATGCAGCCGGCCCGTGGCCAGTAGGAAGTCCCCATGCTCTCTCTGCTCTCACCTTTGCGTCTCCTCGGGGGCCTGGCCACCTGCTCTTTCAGATTGAGTCTGCGCAGAGGCCACTGGCCGGGGCAGGGAAGCTCACCACCTCCGCCCTCCCCCCACTTCCTGGCCTATTTAAGACTGGCTCGCTGACTCCGCGCAAAGCCTTTTGCATACATGATCTCATCCTATGTCCCTCAGGCCGCAGGTATGATCCCCTTTTACAGATGAAGAAACCGAGGCACAGGAAGGTAGGGTGACTTGTCCCCACACCGTGTGCCTAGCGAGTGCGGGGTCTGAACTCAAACCCAGATCAGCGACTCTAAGCCCACATCCTTCTCACCACAGGCCTAGATTCGCTGGACTCGGTTTATTTTTAATTTAAACAATCCGTATTGCTCCTATTTTACACGAGGCCTCGAGAAAGAATAATTATACTCTCCTATTTATAGCACCGGCCTCCGAGGAGCTCTGCCCAGGACAGAGAGGAAGACGGAGGCTCGCCGTCCTCTGCAAAGACGCAGACAAGGGAGAGCGAGGGAAGCATGGGGAGCCGCTGGCTCTGTGACCCACAGGCTTTCTGCTCTGAGCCGACCGATGGCCAGCCCCCCTGACGTCACCCCGTCACCATCCTCACCATCGCGTGCCCCAGGTGCTGCTGGGCTCTGCAGATCTTATGTCTGGGCCCCACTTCACATGCGAAGAAACCAAGGCTCCAGGCATGTTAACGCGCCCGGGATGGGCGCGCTCTGCCCCATCTTCCTCAGCATCTGGCACCCCAGGCGTGAGAACGAGGGTGAAACACACCGCGTTCCGAACCACAGCTGCTCCCCCCCGCCCTTCCCCCGCTCTGTCCACCGGGAAGGGGCAGGCCGCGGGGTTGGGGGGTACAGAGGGCTTCTGACAGGCCGGCATCTAAGCAAGTTTCCAAAGGAAGCTGGAGCCACGCATCCCAAAGTCTGGAGACAGAAAGCTGAATTTGTTCTGAAGTCAACCAGAAAGAAAGCCCCTGCTGGGGGGGTGGGGGTGGGGGGTGGCCCGAGAACGGGTTTTGTGTGAAATTACTTTTCGTGGGCGGAGAGGAGCAGTACCGGCCTTGGGCGGGGGGCCGGCGTTGCTGCTTGCACAAGCCCTGGGTTTTCCTCACTCCCCAAGAAGAGCACTCACAGAAAGT